AAATGAGAGACAGGCCTGTGAAGTGGGCATTAGCACCAGGGAGGCAAGCACTCCTTAGAACAACCAACCCTGAGATCAAATGGGTGGCATCTGCCCAAGGATAAAGCTCAGACAGCAGGGATAGAAGGAAGGATGAAAGGAAATGAGAAACACAGGGAGGAAGTGGGGAGAGAGCCGTTTGTGAGGACTGCAGTGGATGTCACAAAACAAAAGGTATGTGCAACCAATGGAAAACCTATGTGTTCTGTAAACTTTCATACAAATCACACACACACACACACACACACACACAAATCAATCAATAAAGCAGCATTAGTAACCAGTCCTTCATGGCACGAGAACAGGGGGGCAGTGCAGCAGAAATAAGATAGCGGGCTACTGAGGCTTTAAGACAGTCCGTTGGCCAAGGCTGGAGAACACAAACACAACAAAATACACGAGACCTCCCCCACGTCAGTGGAAAACACGTTTCTAGAGCAGTGAGGGCAATTTTCCAACCATAGCTTGGGGTGAAAAGAAAGGAGGGGGTGGAGATTGGCTTTGTCAAGGTAACCAAAGACGGGGACAGTGGATAAAACGTTATTCTGCTCCCTGCCAGTTAAGTTACCAACGCAGCCGCCTGTGCTCCTCAGAAGGCCGTGGAGAGACTGCTGGCAGTGGCCTTGAAGTACATGTATTGAAATTAACACGTCTAGGTCTAAAGTGTCTTGCCTAATACCCAGAGTTCATGCTGCGGGCTGGGGAGAAACCAGTTACCACCACAGACACGAACAGGACTGGCTGGGAGCGAGCATGCGGCTGCCCCGCATTCTGGCTTTGGGCAGTACTGGCGCAGAGCCCGCTGAACGCGTGTTGTTTGGGCTGGGCGCACGTTAACAACGTCGCCCCTTCATCAGTTTTTCAGAAAGTAATAAAGTTAGCTTATCTGATGAACAAGCCTCTAATTAAATTCCCTGGGACATTCAAGATGCGCACAGGTCCTCCTTCCTGGGGCGGCTGGGACGTGGCCCGTATCACGAGCTCTGCTTGCCGGGGGAGGCTGTCAGCAATTTCAGGAAAAAGATCCTGCATCTTGGGATGGGCCTCTTTCGAACAAAAGGAGCTCTGGTGACAGTAGTTAAAGGAGTCGCTGATAATCAAGTTTGGCGATGCTAACCCACCAGGTGCTGGGCAGGATAAAGGAGGCTGACAGCCCTGAAGACTGACAGCCTGGGAGACCCTGTGGGCAGTTCCACTCTGTCCTCTAGGGGCGCTGTGGGTCAGAATGGACTCCACGGCAGTGGGTGTGGTTGAGGCTTTGCTTCTGTGAAGACTGACAGCCTGGGAGACCCTGTGGGCAGTTCCACTCTGTCCTCTAGGGGCGCTGTGGGTTGGAACCAACTCCATTGCAGTGGTTTGATTTTTTGGCTTTTTACAACTACATCAACACTAATCTGCTGCTGCAACCGTTTAAAGAAGATTCTTCTTCCACGAGACTCCTGTTTGTAGCTGCAGGGCAGAGAGGAAAGCACCACGCTGCCCCAGAGGTCACCACGACCATAGCTGCAGTACTCGGCCAAAGGCACCGTGACTTTACATTGCTTCTTGACATGTCATTGTCAACATCAGTCCCTTTCCCCACCTTTAAACTATTTTAATTAATTTTCTCTTGAAAAGATAAGGCCCCCACCACCAAAAACAAAACAAAACAAAAAAACCCGCCTTGTGGCTTCATTTCATTGGCGGTCCCAACACAGAAATTCATAGCGTCAAAAGTTATCTGATAGGCTTTCAAAGGATCCTTGTATAAGATGGGAGCTCTGGTGGCGCAGCGCCTAAGGCATTTGACTGCTAACCAGAACCACCGGCCACTCCTTGGAAGACTGGGGAATCTACTTCGTAGAGATACCACCTCAGATACCTAAGGTGGCATTGCTAAGAGTCCAAATGGACTCCACAGCAGTGTTTGTTTTTTTTGGTACGATGCTAGGAGATAACAAGGTGTGCAGTGAGTGTGACCATGTACGTTTTTCAAGCCAAAGCCGTCTACGCAAAGTCGGTGTCATTTGGGGAGCACCAAGTTCAAATCCTGAAATGGGGTGATAGAGAACAAAGGGGTGATCCCAGCCACTCTGGATCAAATACCCCCTCTGTGAAGCACAGGCAGGCACCCCGGGTAAGCCAGGAGGCCCAAGTACTAAATAAACCCTCAACCTGGCCAACAGGGCGACTCCAAGTCGGGTGGGGTGCTGGGTGGAGGGAGACCGCTGCCTGGCCACTGAGTCACGGCTACGTGGCCTCCTATAGGGCCACCCAGTCGGTCACCCGGGCAGCCTTGAGCCAGCAGACGCAGGCCGCTGACCAGAACCGGAGCCAGGAGGGACCGCGTGGGGTCCAAGTGACACAGGGCGTGAATCGCCTGGAGCCCTCCAAAAACCCTTGCCAAAGCCGGAGGGGCAGCCGGAGGGTGTCGCCAGCTACCTAAAGCAGCAGAAAACACCGCACCCTCCATTCCTGAGTCTAACGGTTTCTTTCCTGGAGGGTGGGGGTTGGAAATGAAAAGATTTGCTCAGTGTTTGATCACGGCTGCCCAGAAAAGGGGTGAGAAAATCCCACCCCTCAGCACTGGAACTCATGGGAAGGCGGAGGAGTGGGAAGTACGGCAAACGGAGAGTTGGTGCTGCTGAAAATTTTGCACGCGCTTTCTTTATGCTCATTACAGTGATTGTTGCTCCTCTCAGCCCGGCAGCAAGGGCCAAGGATGTTAGGGCCCAGTTACCTATATTGCTACGCGTTCCGTTCTATGAGCTTAGGGAGCTGGTGACCCCAAGAAAAAGTGGGACAAACGTTTCCTCCTAACAACACAATCTCTTAGACTCGTTCTGGTACATCTGCAAACACACAGTAAATTATAAAATAAAACAGGAGATGAGGTTTCTTGGGCGTTTAAAAAAGCTCCCTGGAATCCCTGCGCCTCAGGGAAACCCCCAGGCTTTAAAGTTGCCGGACTTTCTTCTCAGTGGTCTTTATGTTGAGGTCTAACTTGTCCACTTTGGTCGTGAGCCGGTCCAGGATGTCATCATGATCCTCGATTTCCGTCTGCATGCCCAGGGCGATGTCCTTCAGGCGGCCCAGGCCCACGGACAACTCATCTGGGGGAGGAGGAACGACAGAATGGCCTGAGCGCACACGCACATTGAGGGGGCGGCTTCCTGCAAGAGGGGCTCCGGGCACGTTTTCCAAAAGCACGTGCACGTGAAAGGGAGCCCTGGTTACTCACTAAGAAGTAATGTTTCACGTGGGCTCCTCCCCTCCCCCAAGGTAACCAGTCTAACCTCCTGGCAGCGATGGAGGAAGGGAGCAAAATGGTTGGGGGTCGGCCACTACTTGAAAGGTTGGCAGTTTGAACCTACCCAGCGGTACTGCGGGAGAGAGGCCTGGACATCTGCTTCCCTAATAAAGATTACAGCCAAGAAAACCCTTTGGAGTTCTGTGGAACACATGGAAGTTGCCATGAGTCCCAATCGGGTTTGATTCTTTTTTGGTCCTCTCAGTGTTTCCAGAAATACATAGAAGATCCACAGTCTGTCAGCGGCCTTTAACACCCCCCTGTGAAGCACAGGCAGGCACCCCGGGTAAGCCAGGAGGCCCAAGTACTGAATCCACCCCCAGCCAACAGGGCGACTCCAAGTCAGGTGGGGCGCTGGGTGGAGGGAGACCGCTGCCTGGCCACTGAATCACGGCTACGTGGCCTCCTGTCCCCTGATCCTATAGGGCCACCCAGTCGGTCACCCGGGCAGCCCTGAGCCAGCAGCACAGGCTGCTGACCAGAACCGGGGCCAGGAGGGACCGCGTGGGTCCTACTGCGTGGGTCCTACTGCGTGGGTCCTACTGCTAGGTCGCCGCATTACCAGCTTGGATAGCACGCAAAGAAACGACACACACGGGGACCTGGGGAACCTCTCAGACTCCAGGGCAAGTGCTGGGGAGTCGGCTAGTCATTGCAGCCAGGTCTGCTGCCCTGCCTTTCAGGAAAAACCCCCGCTTTGGTGGACAGAACCCCACTTCCTTCCTCTCCACCTCCCAAAGCTAATCAAACCAGAATGGCTAATGAGGGGCGCTCTTCAGACACAGGCCTGGGAAGACCTATGCTGTGCAGCCCACCACCCAGGCTGCCCTGGGTAAGGCCTGCCTGAGGGTGGCAGGGGAAAGAGGGGGTCCTTCCCGCCCTGGCGTGTGCCTGGGTGCTCTGCCAGAACCCACGTGTGCTGCAGACATGCCCACTGGACCCAAATGCTATGGAAACCCTGACCTATGTTACACCTCCCCACATTCACTCACTTGTTGCTGTCACGTGTCCTCAGACCCATGACCACGTCAGGGCCGGGGAACCGCCACAATTAGCTCATAGTTCCCTCCACCTACTGGTACCAGTGGCTGCGGACTCGACTCTGACTTATGGCGCCCCCACGTGTCTCAGGTTGGAACTGTGCTCTGTGGGTGTCATGGCTGAGTTTATGGAAGTATCACCAGGCCTATCTTCCAAGGCTCCTCTGGGTGGACTGGAACGTCCAACCTTCTGGCTAGCAGTGGAGCTCTTAGTGGTTTGCACCATCTGGAGACTCCTTAACTAAGAACAGCACGTCAGAAAAGAGCCAAGAGAAGACATAGTGCTTTGAAAGACGTCTTAATTGCTAAATTAGAAATAACACGTTATGGAATGAAAGTCAGGACACACAAATATTTAGCACCAGCACCAGAAAGTGCAACAGAATTTTTTTTTTAATAAAAATGGTTTTCGGGTTACTCACAACTATGATTCTCTATAAGGATTGCTGGTGGTGCAGTGGTTAAATGCTTGGTTGCTAATGCAGAGGCTAGTGGTTCAAACCCACCAGCTGCTTGTGGGAGAAATATGTGGCAGCTTCCATAAGGATTTAAAGCCTGGCAAACCCTGTGGGGCAGTTCCACTCTGTCCTCTAGGGGCGCTGTGGGTCAGAATGGACTCCAGGGCAGTGGGTGTGGTTGAGGCTTTGCTTCCGTGAAGACTGACAGCCTGGGAGACCCTATAGGGCAGTTCCACTCTGTCCTCTGGGGGTGCTGTGAGTTAGAACTGACTTCCTGCTATGTGTCTGTTCTTGTGGTTTATGACCCAGCATTCCAAGGTAAACCTGTAAGGCCTTGGAAAAGAACAAAGCCAGGCTGGTAACTTGGTGGAGATAAGGAATGTGGTAACATGAGGTCAGCAGGCAAGGGAGCCCCAGCCGGAGTGGCAGAGGTAGTCTGCGACAAGCACAGGTCCCTGAAACAGGTAGGGAGGTGGTATGAAGGGCAGAGCACACGTGTCACGGGGAGCAAGGTGCGAGCCCACAGAGCAGGGCCAGCGTGCTGGGTGGGAGCCACCTGGTTCCCCTGGAATTCTCCCTGCTGCCCCTCACTGGGTCCTGCGTCGGCCTCCCCTCCCCCTCCCCCTCTGCGGATGGCTGTGCTCGGCCCCTTCTGTGGGCTTCCTGGAGTTCAGGTCCTTCGACAGTACCCTCCTCCCTCCCGCTTCCAACGCAGCCAGCCTCTGGGACGCCCTGGGCCCAGCCACACCTTCGTCTGGGCGGAGAAACCCTGAGTGGGAAGGATAGAGGCTTCCAAGCCCCACTGTGTTTCACTGGTGTCCTAGGTGGGGCAAGCAGTTAGTTACTTGGCTGTAACCCAAGATTGGAGGTTTGAGTCCACCCAGAGCCACCTCAGAAGCAAGGCCTGGCAATCTATTTTCGAAAGGTCACAGCCACGAAATGCGTTCAGAGCAGTTTTGCTGGACACACGCTCCACGAGCTGGGGCCGAGTCAGGACACCCGGTTTATGCTTCCCCGGGGTGGACAGACACCTGCCTGTGAGACGTCCCCGCTCCGGAGGGCGGGGTCCACAGCACCGAAGCCAGAGGGACTACTGGGCTGCTGCAGGCTCTGCGGGCAAAGGTCGGGGGGGCGTGGGGAGCGCGCGCTGCCGCAGCGCGGGGAGACGGCCCTGTCCTGCACCCGCGCCCGCGCCGTAGGCGATGTGCTAACACAGGTGGGAATGGGAACGCTCGCAGCCACGCAAAGATGGTATGAAACACAGTTCTTGTATTTCCTTAGTTTTGCTCCCATCCATCTTGTAAAACCCACGTCTATTGCGCTGTGGGGATGGTAGTCAGTGTCATGAGACAAAACGTGCATGAACTGCTGTGTGCAAAACGAGCATGGTCTGTCAACTTTCACCCAAACCACAATAAAGATAAAAAAAAGCCATGTCTTTTGATGTGAAGAGTTTTTTGAATACTGAAAAAGATTACATAAAAAAAGTTGTGAATTAGTTGCCAAAGATGAAACATTAGAAGTTTTTTATTTTAAAAAAAAAAAAAAAAAGATTATAGTCACTGACTAACTTCTTTTCTCATAATTTAGCTACCAAATGTGGCCAAAGGCTTCCACACAGAAACGGGGGATTGTTTACAGAAACACTGGAAATAACCTAAATGTCCAAGAACAGGGAGTGGAACTATGAAAAATGAAGCTTTTCAAGAACATTTTGTAACTCTGAAAGGTCCTACATAGAAACCGAAAAGCAGAACACAGAACGGTGTACACTGAGTGACCCCAGGCCCACTTGAGAGCTGTACGTGCACATGGTATGTTCACGAAAACAAGAGAATCACATCTACACAGCCTGCTAGGGGACCGCAAGCTCCCTCCAGAGGCCGTGGAGGCCGACTCCTGGCTCCCCACGTGTCAGAGGGGACCTGTGCTCCCAGGCTTGCCAGCAGCTGCTCTTCTGGAAGCCGACTGCAAGGGGTGTTTATTTCCTCATACTGCGAGAGACTTGTTACCACGGAGTCCATTCCTGCTCACAGCGCCCCTAGAGGACAGAGTGAAACT